ATGCTGTTTATGGGTCACTGGAGGATTTTTTTCTCAACTCTTGACTTAGAATGACTACTAGGTCATCAAGAGAATCCAGCTCCACCTTTCAGCTTTCCTGATGCCTTCAGAGACTCAGTTTCTATATTTAGTGAAAAGAGGTGGCCTTTTGAAGAAACCATGGAGGAGGGGAGAAAAACAGAGTAAAACCTGAGTTACAACCTGCCTGAATGCAAAAGGCCTTTGTCATAAACAAGGGGTGTTTCAGCAGCACTGAGACCAGAGATGAGATATCAGTAGGAATATCTTCCCAGCATGTGCAGACATGTACTGGAATGACAAGACAGAGTGCCGTGTCAACAACTGACTTGTGAAAATTCAAAACGTGCTACTTGTTCCCAAGGTCTCCTGCAGAACCCAAACTAATCCAGACCCTACAGAAGACACTCTTTGTGATTCTAAAATATTTCCGTTACATGATTTCTCACTAAGTATTCTTTCTAATCTTATTTTAAAGCTCAATTGCTAATATTTTTAAATCAGTGGAAGCACTGATCATGGAGAAACCAGTGGATGGGGCAATGGGTGATGGGTAATGGTGACCCCAATGGTGGCAGGGTGGGGAGGAGCAGGAGTCTGGAAAACATAGACCAGAGTGCTTTCTACTGTGCCCACAGTCTGCCATATTCTTAGGGGCCCTAGATCAGAAGGGCTTTGGGGGAGCCGAAGTCAACATCATCCTCTTGATGAAGAATTATTCTGTAATCTTCTGTGGTGACTGCTCTCACTGCTGCCTCCGTTTTGCACAATTCTCACACGTGACCTTCTCTGAGGGTTCCAAACTCCAGTTCAGTGGCCACGTTATCCTGTGTGCCATGAGCATGGATGGAGCTATTTCAAGTGCTGGGCACAAAGTTAGCACTGAGCAGATAACTGATTGATATTTATCTATTTAATCATGACCTGGCTACAATGTGGAAGGGATAATGCTCAGAGTTTCAAATTGACCCTAATAGGAGAACCCTGCAGATCATCTTGATCTGGCAGCCTCTTATATCTTCAGGAAGGCACTTGGCTAAACCATATAAGGAAAGTAGTCTTGAATTATATGCAGAAGGCTAGGGACATTAGGTTAAAAAAACCAAACACACCTGGAAGTAGAATCAGAAACCAATGGTCATACCATACAGCCCTAAATTCCTCCCTGCCGCACTTTTTATGTGATCACCGTCCTCTCCCCTCCCACCCAAGTTCATAAGAGGTGTGAACATTCTGGGAGGAAACGGGGAGGCTTTGGCTTAAGAAGCCATTGCCCAAGGAAACCACACCCCTAAACACACACCTGAGTTTTGTCTTAGTTTCCAAATCCCCATACCCAGCCATCTACAAACCTCTAGAACGGGGCACTAGGTACAGGAAATGTTTTAAGCTAATTGTTCAGCTAGTTGGGGCCTTGACCTAGTGTATGGCCAAAGTTTAATAGCTGAGGAAATATTCAAGTTTGATCTTACTTTGAGTGCACTAACTCTTCAAAATCACAACAAGAAGATAAAATAATGAATGTTAGAGAAAAGGAGAAATAGACTCAGTATCTTCCATAGCAGAAGGCAGGTGCCTACTGTATGCTACTGGTGACCTTCTAACTCCCTTCTATCCAAGGTGGTATCTAGTGATTGAATCATTGGCTTCTTTAGTGCTGCAATGATCTAGTCTCTCCCTGCTGTTTGGTGGTTCAGAAGGAACCCAGCCCTGGGGTCTCCATTCACTGCCATACTTGAAAATCTGGGTTGCTCCCTCTCATGTCCTCTAGACTTGTCCCTTGGACTTTAAGAGAAATTCATTCTTCTGAGTAGAGGACCCTACTTCCCCAATTACTATGGAAACTATCTCCCTAGACTGGTTCAAATTCAGGGCACCAAAACAGCACCATTCAAATTCAATAGTTTAGACTTCTAGGGGTTTTCAAACTCCAGCTTGAGCATCAGAATCACACGGGGAGCTTTCAAAATGCAGATACTTGGGTCTAACTTGGAGCTTCTAATCTAATGGCTTGAGGGAAGTCTTGGCATCTTTATTTTAGAAAGCTCCATGTTATACTAAAGCACATTGAGATTTGAGAGTCTGTGAGTTTAGAGATACAGCCTAGAGGCAAGGAGGAGGAATGCTCAAGGGGAAGGAAGAAAGAGGGAAAAATAGGAAGAAGGAAGGAAGAAAGAAATGGCCATAGGAAGGTCAAAGCAATCAGAGAAATTATCTGAAAGCCAGGAGCTTTGGGCTGGGAGATGCCTCCATCATGAATACCCAAGTACGAGGCTCTGTTTCAGCTTTAGGTGTGTGTGTGTGTGTGTGTGTGTCTGTGTGTGTGACCCCCACACAGTCACACACACACACACACAAACACACATAACATGGCCATTTCAAAAAGGTGCTGGGAAAATCAGAGAGGCATGTCCCATGAGCCTGGGATTGTTTCTTCACCTCTGACACTTTTTCCATTTCCAGCCTGAGCTCTATCACACACACCCCAGGGGAGAAAGCACAACACACACCCCAGGGGAGAAAGCACAACGCAGCTGCTGAAAATCGGTAGTTGCATTTGTGTGCTTGTTCTCATTCCCTACTCCATTGTCATCACGATAGTATTTCTTTGGGTCACATCTGGCTGGTGGGGTATCAGTGAGTTGTGGTTGGGGAGAGGGGGGAAGTAATGAAGGAAGATCACAAAAATACATCAGGGCCATTAGCAAAGTAAATTATACCTATTCCCCTCAACCCCACACTCACCCACCACTACCCTGCCCTCAAGTTGCTGCCATTAAAGGTGTTTCCATAGCAACTTAAGGCATGGATTTGAAGCTCCACCTGATGAGGCTCCAAGGCACCATTCCATACACAGTTCCCAACTGCCCATCTGAAAAAGGATGCTTCTGTCCTTAGGACCACTTGGGAATTTGATCAACTTTGCTAAGTGAAATAAATTTGCCTAAGTATAATAAGTTCAATCCCTCTCTTTGTACAAATCATTTAAAATCAGTTTTTATTCAATATGGGCCTTAGAAAATATTTTCAAAGTTTCATTTTAGTTTGAGGAAGGGTTGATTTGGCCTTCATCTTCTTTTGAAAGTATGACAACACAGCAACTTTCCCAGCACATGTTCTGGTTGTGTAGCCATCATTCAGTTGAAATTTAGTGTTTCCCTAGACCAGTGATGGCGAACCTATGACACGCGTGTCAGAGGTGACACGCGAACTCATTTTTTTGGTTGATTTTTCTTTGTTAAATGGCATTTAAGTATATAAAATAAATATCAAAAATATAATTCTTTGTTTTACTATGGTTGCAAATATCAAAAAATTTCTATATGTGACATGGCACCAGAGTTAAGTTAGGGTTTTCCAAAATGCTGGCACGCCGAGCTCAAAAGGTTCACCATCACTGCCCTAGACTGAGCTTTTCAGTCTGAACTGGATGTTTTTCAGTCTGAATTCTCAGTCCGCAGGGGCACCCCTGGCATGCAAGGAATGCTCAGTAAATGTTTGCTAGGTACAAGGTGCTCAGGCAAGTTTCAAGTAGTCATTTGCAGAGAGATGCAATTTCATAGCAACACTGGGTTTCAGCATGTCCACTACAACATAAAAACACTGGGGAAACGAGGTTTTAAATCAATAGAACATGATGCTTATAAAAAATTTAGAGGATACAATACCCTATATCACATCTCCATGTTGCTACAAACTTTTCTGATTCAGAAAGAGGTTAGCCCCCCTCATGGCATTAGTTCCTGCCTGTCTGGCAGCTCTGCTTGATGGGGAGGCATCACCCCTCTTCCATGCTTTAGTGTGCAGACACTGTTCCTTAAGCAGGCTCTCACATGGCTTTCAGGATGGCCAAATACATATGACTGTTTGCAAAATGCTAGGTGAGATGGTATTTTCAAGAATGGAACAAGCATTTTCACTCAAATGTTGGAGAACAACCCTGGATTCTGGTGAATCATTTCCTGCTAAAATAGGAGATACTATAAAGAATTACGTTTCCTGGAGTTTTTACAAATAATGGATTTAACTCTGCCAAATGGAGACCGCTCAAACATGATGTGTGTATTTGCCTGTGGGATAGGCTGCACCAAAATCCCTATCAGTGGCTCAAAGGTGGCAAAGTAGTGTTGGCTGATGGACAAGGAAAGGGGCAAAAGATTTTTAAAGATTTGCTCTCGACTGGCTGACACTTAAGAAGTATAGTTTCTAAATATGCATCACATAAGCACCAGCGTGTTTCGTTACCACTAAGAAAGCCAGCAATGTTTTTGTCTGGACTATTTTCATATGATAGGTAAGATTACTATGAGAAATAAGAATATAATAGCATGCTGTAACGCTACACCATTCAATAAAAATGACTTCTGCCTGGCCGGTGTGGCTCAGTAACTGGGCATTGACCAGGTCACGGTTTGATTCCTGGTCAGGGCACATGGCAGGGTTGTGGGCTCGATCCCCAGTGTAGGGTGTGCAGGAGGCCACCAATCAATGATTCTTTCTCATCGTTGATGTTTTCATCTCTCTCTTCTCCTTTCCTCTCTGAAATCAATAAAAATATATATTTTTTAAAATGGCTTCTTTTTAGAAGACCAGGCCTGATGTTTCTCTTTAATTATAAACGATCTGTCTAAAAATTATAAATGATGTATCTTTTGGGGACAGAGGCAAGACAATAGTAAGAAGAGAAAAACCCAATAGTGGGAGAGGAGTGAATGGGATCCTGTGTTATGTCTGCCATGTTTCTTACTAGAAAAGCGTAGCACACACTGAAAGGTGGCATTTCTCTGAGGCTGGTGGCAAAGAGAGACTTGTCACAGGGAGTGTGAGTGTTTGCTTTGTCTCTCAGGAAAGGCCTGAAAGAAATCAAAGACATTCATCAGCCTCTCCATCAAAGTCGTGGGAGGTAAACAAGGAAGATGTCAAGGGAAGGAAGCCTTGAAGCTTTCCGGACTCCCTGCCGCTGCCCATCGCAAGCTACGTACCCAGTATAGCACGTCTGTCCAGCCTTCCATGGTGATGCACTGGAACACCGTGAGCATGGCGAAGGCGAAGTTGTCGAAGTTGGTGATGCCGTGCCTGGGCCCATCCCACCCAGGCTTGCACACAGTGCCATTCTGACACTGCCGTCCATGGCCTGTCTCCAGAGCACAAGGGGAGGGATCATCTTCCGCTGGAACATCTCAAATGGCCAGGGGGGAACACATAAAGGGCGGAGATGCACAGAGGGGAGGGGGATACACAATGGGGGGAGATGAACAGAGCGGGGATGCACAGAGGGGGGGATGCATAGAGTGGAGGGGGATTCACAGAGCGTGGGATGTACAGAGGAGAGAGGGATGGATGGAGAGGGGGGGAGATGCACAGAGGGGAGGGGATGCACAGAGGGGGCACACAGAGGGGAGGGGGATGACAAGGTGGGGACACATAGAGGGTGGGGACACATAGAGGGAGGGGAGATGGGCAGAAGGGAGGGAGAGATGGGCAGAGAAAAAAAATTGGCAAGTCAGAGAGGAAAGTTACAAGATAAGATTGATGGGAGAGGCAAAACCACCACACAATGGTAATGGGGAAAAAAAGTTTTCATTTGTCCCCTGTATATGAATTAAAACAACATAAGGAACTAGGTATTCATTTAGGCTGTTCGTTTAGAACAGTGATGGCGAACCTTTTGAGCTCGGCGTGTCAGCATTTTGAAAAACCCTAACTTAACTCTGGTGCCGTGTCACATATAGAAATTTTTTGATATTTGCAACCATAGTAAAACAAAGACTTATATTTTTGATATTTATTTTATATACTTAAATGCCATTTAACAAAGAAAAATCAACCAAAAAAATGAGTTTGTGTGTCACCTCTGACACGCGTGTCATAGGTTCGCCATCACTGGTTTAGAATGTTAGTACTTTCAACCAATTGTTGTAAAATGTCATTTTAAGCCCAGTAATCGATTTCAAAGACAGTAGGGACATGGCACATTCTGTTGTAGCACATCAGCATCATAGTCAAATGGTCAATCAAAAAATAATGATGATGGAACCACTCTGAGTGGAAGGTATCCTGGAAAATGAAGGAAGTCCATGTTTTCTTATTTTGGGGCTATTTCCATCGAAATAGCAGAGTTTCAAGTGGGAGCGTGTTGACTGGAAGACTATTCCACATAATTAGCCAACAGATCCCATCCCGTTGCACTTTGAGACTATAGGAGAGTCCATAAGGTGTTACATGATGCATCAGCAGGGATGCAAGTCACTCTGTGGAGCAAGCCTTACCTCGGTGAAGGATAAGTGAACCCTGACTGCAGGGAGAGGACCGCCTGCAGCCGCCTTTATTATAACCTGAGCGCACCGCTGTGGCCTGTGTTTTACGCAGGTCAAGTGGAACCTTGCACCACTGCCCTTGCTCACCAGCATTCCTACCTTTCAGAAGAAAAGAATCGTTTTCTGACCTCTACTCAAAATAGAGGGGCAATGGGTGACAGGGAGAATACTCAGTAGGTGTGGACAGGGCTTTTTCAGAAAACAGTTTAACATCTGTGGCTACAGACAATGCTCGGGCTAATTCCACATGCTGGGAACAGCTGCTAAAAACCAATACATTAAGACGAGGTTTATATTTTTGGTGCAGAGATCATTAGTAGTTTGAAATAAGACTTGATTTATTTAAGAATTTCTATTGTAGTAAAAGAATAGAGAAATGCTGAGAAAGGCTTGGCTCCAGCTGAGGAAGGTAATCGTGTGAACTTAAGGACATTGTCTCATGCTTGTAGAAAGTAACAGCAATAAGCAGGGTAGACTTAACAACCAAATGATTGCTTCTGACAACAGGGAAAATATGGTCCCACAGAGTGAATTTACTTGCAGTTCTTCATTTAGAGATTTCCATATGTATCAAAACAATCACAGTGTCTAGTACTTCAGTATTGAAGATGGCTGGTTGGTTGTTTCTTGGTTTGTGGCTTCAAATTAGAAATTTCACTCCCAAAAGGAAGACAGGAAGAGAATAGTAATCCATAACTAAGATAATTCTTAAGAGAATGGAGTTGAGCAGCATGGCTGGAAATATATGCTGGATTGTGTCTTCTTGGCTTTTTTTTCTTTTCTCCCTCTCTTTTTAGTTACTTTATTGAAATATAATTTACATTTCTTCCAGTCCATGAATGTAAATGCACAGCTCAATTATTTTTAGTAAATTTACATAGTTGTGCAGCCATCACCACAATTCATTTAAAAACACTTCCATCCTCCTCCAAAATTCCTGTGTGCCTGTTTGCAGTCAGTCCCTGCTCCTGCCCTACCAACCTGGTCTGCACTCCATCTCTATAGCTTGCCTCTCTAGAAATTGCATATACATGTTCATTTCACTGTCTGTTTATCCACTAGCTCCGTGGTCGGCAAACTGCGGCTCGCGAGCCACATGCGGCTCTTTGGCCCCTTGAGTGTGGCTCTTCCTAAGCCTTAGGAGTACCCTAATTAAGTTAATAACAATGTACCTACCTATATAGTTTAAGTTTAAAAAATTTGGTTCTTAAAAAAAATTTCAATCGTTGTATTGTTGATATTTGGCTCTGTTGACTGACCACTGCTAGCTGATGGGCATTTGGATTGTTTCCAGGTTTGGGCTATTGTGAATAGTGCTACTTCTGGCTTATTCTTGGCCTGGTGCTTTAGTCTGTACGTGGGTGTCTGTGATATGACCCAGGTGAAGAGGTCTGCATCACTGGTCCCTGAGCTGTCTCAGAAAATGAGTGTCCTCATCATTTCCCACTCTGGACGCTGGCTCCCAAGGTGCTCTGTTCATACAGCTGAAATCCAGTCAATTTTTTGTGACTTCAAATTTCAAAATCCTTGGAGATTTGAATGTGAGCTTAAACAAGGGGAGGGTATGAAAGGAGGGGAACTGAAAAGTGAATACCAAACCTGGAAAGTTAAAGAAAAAGTAGATAATAAGTATGTAAAAAAATGAGAGTTGAGAGACTGAATAGATCATAAACTCAGCTGTGTTCTTGCCCATGCTAGTGATGGCTTCCTAGAACATGTTCAGTCTCTGTTATGAAAGGGCTGGAATAATATGAGAGATGGGATGGAAAGAGAAGGGGAAATAGAGGGAAATTTTGCATCTCCTTTTCCCATTTTGCTTTTTAGTGCAATTAAGATGGTATTAATCTTTGCACGGTGGTTCCAATCTGACAGCTTTTCCTGTATTCTCAACCCCTGAAATAAGCAGAAATAAGGAAAGTGAGTTCTGAGTGTCCTCAAGAAAGAAAAACACAGTTCGGGGTTTTACAAATGTATGTTGAAAAGAAATAGCATGAAGGGGAAATGATCTCATTACTAAAAGAGAAAGGGTTGAGATTCAGAAAGATCATCTAAAAGCTCAAGGGCCACTCTGCTATTTTGATTTAAGTCTGTCTTGAACAACAGAAAAAAACGAAAGATATGAGAACAATTAAGAAGCACTGATGATCTGGTAAAAATAGATATCTATAAAAAGCAGTAAAGGGAGCACTTGAAAAATGTGAACACACAAATCAGCAGGTCCTGTGACATGCTCTGGAGGGTGAGGGGAAATGAGATCTAATGGGAAAATGTGTTGGTTTTCCTCTGGGGGGGTCATGAAGTCCCGGTGAGGAGGGGTGGGCACAAGGGAGGAGGAAAAAACAAAGCAATGTGGGTGAAGCATAGTAAAGTCATTCTGGAAAGTCCAAATTAAGTTCGAAGTAAACTAATGGAGGCCAGATTATGAGAGATTTAAAAAAAGCGGTTAATACCAACAGGAGCATGAAACCCTGGGACAGTGCCAGTTAGGGGTTCCAAGGAGAAATACCAGAGACAAAACCAATTACTTTTTTAGGCCCCAATTTTAAGGAGTGAATAGAATGAAAATGATTTCATTTCTAGGTTTTAGCCAACCCATTCTTTGCCAGTCTCTGGGGTAATTATTGTGTTTGGGAGAGCCATTCAGAGTGACCTGGCTCAGAGCACCATCAAACAGATGGGACGCCAGAAACAAAAGGAGCCAGCATATGCTGGTGCACCTGCGGAGGAGCCTGGGGGGCACCTGCCAGGTGCCTCAGGGACTGGAGGAACATTGTCTCTCTTGAGGCCACCTCTCCCGGGAACTGGCGGGGGCATCCTAGAGGCAGAATAACGGTTCGCCTGGCCGGCTCCAGAGCTTCTTTATATATTTGGCTCAAAATCCAATGTATTCTAAAATTTACAAGCACATAAAATTCAGTCTGAAAAAGAAACTCAAAATGTAAAAAGAAGAATTGGATGTAAATCCCATTAACAATTCTTTTTTCTTTTTTAAAGATATGTTTTTATTGATTTCAGAGAAAGGAAGGTAGAGGGAGAGAGATAGACACATCAATGATGAGAGAGAATCATTGATTGGCTGCCTCCCGTGACCCCTCCCCTCCACCTGGGACTGAGCCCAATCCAGGCATATGCCTTGACTGGGAATGGAACTGTGACCCCCTGGTTCATGGGTCGATGCTAAACCACTGAGCCACACTGACCGGACCCATTAAATATTTTAACAAGGGCTCACAAACACTTCTGTATAATCTAAGTTTGCAGAAAACATGGTAATTCGATCCAAAGACTGGACTTTACAAAAACACCCATTCCAAAGGTGGTATGAAACTCTCGAAAACACATGAGATTGGTTTCAAAGACTGCAGGGTTGGTTTTCTACTCTGGCAGCATCAAGTATGTCCAGATTCCTGTACATGTTCCCTCCTCATCAGGGTTCGTCACTATGGGTGAGAGAGGCCCTGAGGACAGCTGTGTCGTGTTCTGTTGGGAGAGATGGATGGAGTGGGTCCCAGGGTTTGTCATCAGACAGCAGGATCAGAAAGAGGAGGTGTGTGAGCTCTGATTGCAGTATTGGGAGGAAAGGCTCCTGCAGCCACATGTCCTCTGTCCTCTCCCCAGCAGGAAGTCTGGCTCCACATGGAGAGCAAGGTCACCTTCCGGTGGAGCTCGCATGGCTCCCCTCTCAGAAGCGCTTCTTTGGTGTCTGTCCTCTGACAAACTGGCTCCCAGGGCTGATGGTCATTTCCGTGATGGGAGCTACCTTCCCTTGTGAACTTGGGGGTGAAGGTAAAACCCACCACATAAATAATCTGATGCATCCCTGGTAGGAAGTAGGCAATGTCTTGGGTACTTTTCCTGGTCCTGATTACTACTGAGGATGGACAATAATATGGCCCTAAATTGGCCACTGCAATTGGTGAGGCCAGTTCAGGTCTTTATCCTAAAAGCAAGGAGGCCACTCAAACTTTGAGCAGGCCTGAGGGGCTATTTCACCAGACTGTCCAGCTGCACGGGGCAGAGTATCCCATCCTGTCTCTCCCTGGTCTATCACGCCCACCATTTCCTTGCCATGTGAGGCTACTGCAGGCCTCAACAAAGCCCAGTGACTTCCAACCAATATTCAGGGTTGCTTATTAGCACAGGCCCTTACAGGACCCTGCCACCAGTAGAAAACACACTTTCCCAGCAGGATGATAGGAGCCATGTGCAGTGTTGGGAACAGTGCCCTGTAGCTCAGTGGTGCACAGGGCAGGATTGCCATCTTTGGCTTTTTGGCAGGACTTTACCATTTCACTCTTTCCCATTTGATATGTGGTTAGTGAGAGCCACACCAGCATCCACTGCTGAATTGATGGGGATCTTTGAGACTCAACATCCCAGTGACTGCCTGAGAAGTTTGGGCCAAACAGGTCATTGATCACTTCAATACTAGTACAAGTGCATAAACTTTAGACATACTACAGTAGCTCTTAAGTAGGACTCACAATGAGCTCTAACAAAGCCACAGAATTAATATAAATTTACTGGCCTGGGGCTAGCTACAGATTAAACTGAACATAAGGAAGGATTTGAATTCAAGGGGAAAATATTATTCATTGCATTATTTGGTATTTCTTTAGGCAAGGCTAAAACCTCAGAATTTTAGCTAAAGGCAAGCCTGTTTGTTCCAATACTAAAGGGCTTCTGTGTTATTTAACATGACAGTTTATTTTATACAATTATGGTCCCAGTAATTTGGAAATTCTCTCTAGAGTGAAAAAATGGTCTCCTATTAAACACTCTCCATCAAAAAAGTAAAAACCATTGTGTGAGACTGTGCTTATGGATTTATAGCTTTTTGTTTGTTTAGGGACTGTGGCCATATGGCAGCGACCTTGCAAATACCCAATATAGCCAATCAAATCAGATCATCCAGAATCTGCAACCCATTTCGGTTTCTGAATATGAATAATCCATTTTACTCCCTGTTGTAGGTCAGCCCCCAAAGCAAGAGGGGTCACACGGGATTAATTCTGGGCTGATAGAAATGAGGGGCAGTAGATTGAGAGACGTGCACAATCCTTTAATGCTTCAGACATGTTCCCCTTTCCTTATCAAGATGCCAAAAACTAAGATGAATGATGTAGTTATGAAAAAATAACAAATCATGAAAGTTTAACACTACTAACTCCTTGGGGGTATTTTTCAACAAGTTCTTATGTTGAACTACTTTATATGTCTGTTAAAAAGCCTTGTCAATTTCTGTTTGAATGTTCTTTTTAATGGCAAGTTGAGATTTTAGTAACTTAAGACAGTAGTTGTAGCATACTCCTCAGGCCGAAACTCTAGATCTACTCAAGGAAGTGCTTAATGAGCCAGCATTGCTTGTTAAATAGATTGATTTATGGAAGGAACACAAAAGGGAAGTTCTCAAAAAGGAAAGGACTACGAAGTCATGAGGTAGAGCGAAACCTTCTCCTGGAGGAAAAGAGGTTTCACCACTGGCCGACCTCCTCCCAGCGTGAGAAAGGGCCGGGGTTCTGCCTAGGAATGGAGAAGCAGAGGAGCCAGGATCAGCCCGAACACTCAACCTGCTGGTGTCAGGCAACGCCACCTTCCTGAAAGGACTTTTGATGGCCAGCAACACTGAAGAACTGACAGAGCATAGATCTACGTCCTTAGGTTAATTCTGATTCTTAAATTAAAATATTCAAGGTTAGCTAAGAGATGTTTCTCAAATCGCACAGCTCATTTAAACAGTGTTGAGTAGTGCTGCACAAAGCTTGCATTTAGCTATTTGTAACTGAGATCTATTTTAGTAAAAACAAAAATTATCAAGAGAAAAAGACAACCAATCTCTGCCTCTCCCTTAACCATGGTTTGGAAATGAGCCCTGGAATGGAGGCCTTCCCGGGCACTGCTGGTCAGGTGGAGGCCGTGTCCCTGGCTGAATGAAAAGTAGTGACAACACAGTAAAGCTTCTTGACAGATGGCCAGTCAGCATCTTCCCTTACCTGCTATGCCCTCCTGGTTGTAGCAGGTCTTATGCATTTTCCCCATGAAGAGTTCCAGGCCAATGATAGCATAGATAATGATGACAAACAGCACTAGCAGGGCGATGTGCAGCAGGGGAACCATGGCCTTGATGATGGAATTCAGAACCACCTGGAGACCTACAATGACAAATCATAGACAGTGACAACAGTGAGAACACCAGCTTCCATTATTGAATCATGTGCTGTCTTGGATGCCATACTGACATGATCTCATGCCATCTTCTTAGCATACTCCTTGCACCATGAGCCCCCTTTTTTAGATGAAGAAACTGAGTGACAGAGCAATGACACCCGGGCTGGCCTGACTCCAAATCTCTCTGGAGCTAAATCCAAATGAAAGGACTAGCAGGGCTATCCATCCAAGGGGAAGAACATGTTGTTTCACCCAGAACTATGCAGTTTCCTAACACCCCATCTTAGAGACAACCTACCCTCTTCTTCTCCTGGAGCAGCGACTCCCTACAGGGAGCCTCACTTTGACTAGAGGCAGCCATGCAAGGACGTGGTGATCGCTCAAGAGACTATGGCTGACCCGTATGGTCTAAAACAGATTGGCCTGGTAGTAGGGCATCAAGGGGGTGGGACTTCCTTTGCTGAAACTGATTCACACCCTGGGATACCTCTGGGTGGTAAGACCTCCGTGAAAGGGCTGAGGAAGTAGCTTTGAGGGCACCTTCTCTGGATTACATGGGTGGACTTCTCTTCCTACAGATTTCTCACCAGGCCACCTTCCCTCAGGACCCAAGTCTGAAGTACATTATAGCCTTTCATTCAAAAACCCCACTAAAAGTCTGTGTTTAATGGGTATTGGATTTCAGTTTGAGAAAATGAAAAAAGTTCTAGGGATGGATGATGGTGGTGGCTGCACAATGTTAATGGACTTAGTGTCACTGAACTGTACACTTAAAAATGGTTAAATGGAAAATTTATATCTATCTATCTATCTATCTATCTATCTCCACAATAAAAAAAACTAAGGTACCCAGATCCCTTCAAGGAAAAAGAAGAGTAAATGGAAAACTATTTAGCACATGGGTCTTGTCAGTGCACCCCAAGGGCTATAGGTTTGTACTGTTGACTTAAGGGGAGAAGGACCCCCTTACTTATAAGCTCAAGCACAAATAACACACCAAGAATGCTCCTTGTTTAAAGGGGATGTGGCAAGTTTTCATTTGCAAATGCCCAAGAGGTGGTCACCTGGCAAGTCACCCCAGATTAGTCCTAGGAAAGCTTCTGCCAACATGAGCGCACCAAGTCTCCACATCCTAGGAGAGATGTGGGGGAAGGGCAGGCTCGCCCGCCTTACATCTAGGCCAGCTGTGCAGAAATCTTCTGTGGGCCGCCTCTCACACAGGTATGATAGGACCCCCACCTCTGAATCACACCCCAGTGTCGCTGTCTGACTTCCCCACTCACCATGGACATTGGACATCGCCCCACTTTTCTAAGTATTTGGAACTTCCCTCTGTATTCACCCACCGCCCTCCTCCCTGGGTGAACAAAGCCTGGGTCTCCCGCTCCCCAGACCACAGGGGGTCACTGGCACTTTGTGATCTGGTGGAGGTCTTCACAAGCCTAACTAAGGGAATTCTCCACAGCTACAGCCAAGCTGGGAGAGAAAAAATAAATAAAGGAAGAGAAAAGGTGGAATCATTTCACCTGGGAATTAATTTGCAGACTCCCATTAGAACGAGATGTTTCAGATCCCAATGATTCCATTACTTAGCACGTTGTACACACATTAGTGATAAAGTATGCGAAGTCATGAGAAAGTTGAAAACTGAACTGCAAAGCAACTTTCAGGGATGTCTGCTGCAAGGAAGGGGCCTTTGTTATCAGGCCTCCAGTGCCACGGCCTCAGGTGGCAAGAAAATGGTAGGAGACACAGGATGGGAAACTCTCTTCTGTGCCACAACCAGAGGGTCTGCTCTTAGAATAAATTCTGAAATCCTTCTCATGCCCTATAAGGCCCCAGAGGGTCAACCTGCTGCTTCCACCCGCTTCCATCCCCTGCCACTCACTCTTAGGATTCCTGGTTAGACAACTTTTCTTTTAGACTCAAACAAGCCATACTCCCTCCCACTACCGGGCGGCCACAAATGCTGCTTGTTCCCTCAGCTGGAACGCTTTTCCAATATTTCCTCCTACTTAACCCTTTGGCTCTCAGTCCAAGCATCTCTCTTCTCAGGGATCCTTCCCCAATCTCCCAGACCAAAGAAGTTTCCTTTCTTACATGTCCTCTTGGAAACATTTCGTTCCTTTGGAGCACTAGTCTCAATTTGGAATCATATGCTCATTAAATAATTTTTTAACATTTTTGTCTGTCTCTCATATTGGGTTGAGTTTTGTGAAGACGGCACTGTCCATTCTTTGACCATTTTATGGCTAAGTCTAGCTTGGTGCTGAGCACATGGCAGCTCGGTAAGTGTTTACCGAAGGAGTGACACGCAGTCTAAGGAAACGCTGCCACTGTCATGGAGCTCTGGTGGGCTTGGCTGCAATGAGTCTGCCAGACAGGCAGGGCTATGCATGGCCAGGAAGTTTCAGGTGCCACGGACCCAGGCAGAGACTACTGAGTGGGATGAGAAGAGGCCAAAAGGAAGTCACAGCAGCCCAGAATTCCTTTCGGCCACAGAGAAGCCACAGAATTCCTAAGAGGCCCTGTTTGGGCTTGGTTGGGGGCCACCCTGCCCACCTGAGTATCCAGATCAGGAGACTGATCCCCCAGACTCCTCCTTCCATCAGTGATCAAGTCCTGCCAGTTTGATTCTGAAGTATTTTAGACTAAATTATTTCTACTACATAAATAACATGTGCTCTATATAGAAAAAAATGGAAAATACTTATTATAGAGGAATTGGAAAACTCAGGGAAACAAAAAGGAGAAAGAAATCACCCATATCCCACCACCCAGACATAACCACTGTTAGCCATTTGGTATAATTTTTGGACATTCTGGCCCATGACTCGTTTTCCTCCTCTCCATCCCCTTGGTGTTCATCATTCGGTTAACAATCTCCCTACATTCAGTTTTGCCCAATCTTCATGCCACAGTTAGAATAGTCTACTAAAGCACAAATTGGAACATGTTCCTCCTCTGCTGAAGTCTTCCAATGACTCCCACCACCTACAGGTGAAATTCACCTGCCTCATGCCACAGTTTGACCACATTTGATTCTAGTTTATACAGTAATTCCAATAATATACCAAACTGTCTGAACTTCTGTGGCTTCATGCCTCCCTATCTCAGCATATGTTGTTCCCCCTGCCTAGAATGCTATTCCCTGCCTAACTAAGAGCCCCTGGAGCCTCATCTAATATTTGTATCAGTGCACAGTAGTGACTCAATGCACACGGAGTAAATCACATTTGTAAGGACAGGCTGCTTTCAGAAGACAGAAATGACAAAGGAATCTGAAACCATGACATTCAAAGGTCAGGAAAAGATAAGACTCATGGAATGGGAAAAAGCGTAGGTAGGGAGAGTGATGTCAATAATTTTTACATGATATAAACTGTGTTAGATAAATTCTGTATGACCATAGTGATGGAGCTAGGACCAACAAGGAAGGATTCAGAATGGATTTACATTCAACACAAATATGTTCAAGAAACAGACCTATGTGAAGGTGGTGTGGGATGCTTTAAGAGGGTAGTAGGCATCCCATCCTTAGAGGCATTCAAACCTTGACTAAATAAGCTCTTGGAGGAGATGCATTGGTAGGGATTCAGCCATTGGGTAAAGGATTTCCCTGGCACACCAAAACCCCCTATACCCTCACTAACATGTTCTGAATACTTACCATGGGCCACGTGCAGTTCTCAACACTCTACTTAAATTATTCCATTTCCTCCTGGCAACAACTCTATGAAGTAGGTACTATTATTAATCACACTCTACAGTTGAGAAAAGTGAGTCCTAGAGAGGTTCAATGGCCTGTCCATAGTTACATAGCTGGTGGCTGGTGGCATGGAGTTTAGTGCCAGGTGGCCTGGCTTCAGAGCCTATGGGCTTCACCACTGCTAAATGCCTCCTCATGCCCCAAGACACTGGTTCTCGGCCTCCATGATCTATGTCTATAGAGCATCTGCCAACAAGGTGTGGGAGCCTAGTCCCTGCTTCCAGGAGAGCCTAGATGTTTCCAAGGCTAGTTCCAGGAAAGGCTTCTAATTTCTGCTGTTTTCTTCACAACCAGCCAGGCTGGTGTGGAAGGCATGGCGCCAGGACTCCTTCTCTCCAGTCCATCATGAGAATTTGGCTCTCAAGGCCTGGATGCTTAATAGCTTCTTCTTGGAATTGGCTCACCACTGTCCCACAAACAGCTCCTCCAGCTCAAGTTCAAATTTGGAAAACATAGCAACATTTTTCCACCCAAGTGTTCTCCTCAGATAGATCATGCTTACAGCTGATAACCAATTGCTAGGCCCTTCTTCAGGGTGTCCGATCATACTGGTGGAAGTAACTGAGCCCTTGATAAGCCTGGTAAAGCAGCTGTTATAAGATGCCCTCTGAACACAAGATCATAAGGCTTACATTTATGACTCTCTTTCCTCACCAGAAATCAGGATATAAGATCTGACAAATAATATGAGCACTTATGGATAGAATATTTGATGTGAAAAGTATACTGGAAAATACAGTTCCACAGAGATTAACAAATAATCTATAAACCCAATCTCATGTTAGGTGACCTCTTCTGTGGATGAAAAAACTACCTACATGCCTGCCTGCCCAACCTTCCAGGGAGATGGGGCTCTGGGAAACAGCACCATTAAATGCTGGGATTAGGAAAAGGACAAAGATGGAGTTTAGCTAACACATGTAACTTTACTTTTCTCCCTCTTAGAGTGCTGTAATGTATTCCTTCTGGTCAACTATATTCCGACTTGAAAATTCCAGGTTAGGAAAGGCTTCAAGGATCTGCATATATAAAATCATTCTGTTTTTCCTTAAAATATCAAGAGAAGCCACAAATTATGGAAAGCAAAAGTGGCATTTTTCTGTTAAGATAGTGTTGAGATTACCCTGGAAATGCCCAGATTGACTGAAGTTGGTGCTTCTACACCTGTTACAGACAGTCCACCACTGGATGCATGGTTGAGGACACATTACATTC